AGTCTTCAGACTCGAATTCCATAATCTGATTCTTCAGCAATACGGCTGAAACTTTTCTGGTTGCTTTGCCTATACTGCATTCACTTGGTGGTCAACCCTGCTAATGATCCTGTCCCTGAAGCAATCTATCGACAGAAACACTTGGCAAAGTTTTATTCGTTTCGAGGTCTGCTTTTTTTCAGTCCCAGTTTCGTGCTGCGAAAATTGCCATCTCCAGGGTCATGCTGAGAATATTTGATCATTTTTATTTAGTGCTGTAATAGGGAGCATTTCGACTATTTTTAAGTTTTGATATTTTGTTATTGCTGAAATGATTGTACGTTGTGTTTTTTTTTTTTTTCCATCAACAGTATGTCTTTAACGATGTGAATGACAGCCGGAAGTTTTTGGATTTTTTTCTCTTCACATTTTCGTTGAATATGATCACTGAGCCGACTGAGCGGTGCTGCAAAAAAAAGAAGAAATTCATAAGGAAGTTTTTGTGAAAAGAAAGTTTTGGCTGCTTTATTCTCGCAATACTTCTTGGATGTGAGTGTTGTGTGGCCTCTCTACTCTCTGGACCCATAGGAACAGCACTCATCGTGTGGAAATTAGTCTTATGGTATCGAGATTGTTGCATACATTGTCACAACAGCTTTGTAAAGTTAGTTTTGTTTCAAAAAAATCAAATTGTTGTAAGGTTTTTTTGGCATAATTTCTGGACGAAATGACTTTTCATTCTTCACATCGTAGACCCCTGCTGTATTTTACTGTGTATGTAGGAAGAGACGTAATCTAGATTCTGAACATGGCATAGCTGCGTATGATTTATCCCAGTAACATCACTAATATAGATTCCCCATGACAGTCATGCAAGAGATCTTGATATTTTTGTTATTATGCACTGGAGCATTTAGCTATTACTCTGGCACTGCGCTTGCAGCAGACACCTCCCCAAAAGAATTTTGAGCGAAGAACTGTTTGGAAACAAACTGATGTGATTTTGAGTTCTGATCATGTGGAGGTAAATATGCACGTTTTGCAAGAGCGGTACAGAACCATAAATGATAAATACGGGCGCGTACCGAGATAACCGGTGCGATCACACGTTTTGCGCAGCTCCGTTTGGAGAACGTTTGTTTGCTAAAAATTTTCACTGATTTGCACTTTATTTTGCACAAGAATAGTTGATTTGTTGTCTGGCTTCTGAGCAGCGATACTTTCTAAAAATTTCACGACCAGTACGTGAAAGGTTAAGCGCACGTGAAGGCTGAATTTGAAACCTACAGTGAGCATTCTTTCAGAATTTCACCCGTCTAATTTTTTGGCTTCTGGATGACTAGCACCGAAACTTCGCGTAGTCACACATGGAGCCTTGGCATAATTGGGAGCTAAACTTGATGTTGCAGGCACATACTCCCGAGTTTTCAGCTTTCTAGCTTTTTTGGTTCGTGAAGCTGAGTGGCAAAAAGTGCGAACACGCAGACACACACACAGCTTATTGCCAATATGTGTTTTTGCATTTGCACATATAAAATAATTGGTCAGCCCGTGTGAAGATGCGTTTTTTGCATGGTTCCCCGCGGTTTTGTCGCTACCGGCACCGGTTTTCCCGACAAATGCTTCTGGCTAAAATTAAAACTGGCCGTCAGTGAGGAAACACCCCCTTAAAATTTCAGCTTTCAAGTTTCCCTGGCTTCTGAGTTAACGACTTACTCGAAAAAAAATTCACGGGCCCGTACATGGATACTACGCTTATCCGGGTACAGGGTTTGAGCTCATTAATATTTCCTTGGACGGCGAACATCCCCTTAAGATTTCAGCTTTCTAGCTTCTCATTTTCCCGAGTTATCAACTTATCTGAAAAAGATTTCGACGGACCCGTACGCGAGCACCACGCACACCCGGTGGCTGGATTTGAACTCGTTAATAACAACTTGGATGGGGAACGTCCCTCTTAAAATTTCAGCTTTCTAGCTTCTCAGATCCCCGAGTTATCAACTTACCCAAAAAAAATTTCACGGGCCCATAAGTTGGTACCACGCTTACCCGAGGGCTGGTTTTGAGCACATTAATATCTGCTTGAACGGTAAACATCCCATTAAGGTTTTAGCTTTCTAGCTTTTCAGATCCTCGAGTTATCAATTTACCCGTAAAAAACTTTGGCGGGCTCGTACTTGGGTACCACGCGCGTAAGGGCACTCGTTTTGGGGATTGGGACCCGTACGTGCATGTAGATTAAGCTCCCTAAGTTTCAGCCGCATAGCTTTTGTGAGTCTTGAGATGAAAATTCTGTACAGACGCGCAGCGCACACAGGGACACACACACAAACACATACATAGAGACAACCCCTCGTCAATATGCATTTTGTGCATTGCATAGCTGCAAAAAACGCATAAAAACATATAAAAATCCACTGAAGCTTGACTGCTTACTGGCTTATGATCGCAGGTGCAGTTTTATTTGATTTTGCATCTGTACTTCCTCATATGATGCCTGCAGAATGATCTTAGATTGGTCAAACCGCTGCACTTTGGTCTCGGACCTTCAAAATTCGACCTATTTTACAAGTGCCAGAAATGTGCAAGTCAT